CAATATTTGAACGTTGTCTTTTGAGATATTTGAGATATATACAAGAGTTGTTACATTCTTGTACATTTATTCTTGTCTATTTATTCATCGATCTATCTATTATCTTGTATTTATATTTACAAGTTTCTAGCTGTGCTTGGAAGAAAACTCTTCATTGAATTGGGACTAATTTATTAAATAATATTATTTAGTATTAATTAATATTTCCAATTATTAATAATTACAATTATTAAATACATGGAGCTTCGTGAATCTAGGTCCCAGTCGCTTGAAGCTAGTCTCACTCAACCTTGCAGGAGGAATGGTCTGGAGTACGGGATGAACATAAACTGCTTGGGGGTCGGCCAATGTTAACTACTTTAAGAAATATTAGCATTTATAGAGACCTCCAAGCGATTTTCATGTAGTCAAGTATGACATGTAGCATTTGATGTTTTCCATACAGTTTCCAGTGCGTTGTAATAAATTTTCTAAGGCCCATAGTGTTGTTTCAGTGCTTCTTAATAATAAGTTTTCTGAGAGAAGGGGGGAGATTGTGTGGGGAGAGGCAGAGTGAGGGACCATGGGGGGAAGAGGATGATGGGGAAAAGGATAGATGGGGAGACAAGGCAAAAGGGCAAACAGAAGGGAGAGAGAGCCTGGTCCAACCGTCTGTGTTAGAAAGTATTCAAGTTTCTAGATAACTTTCAGGATACCTCATTCCAGGAAGGGTTCAGGACCACAAAGCTGACACTCCAAACCAGACATGACAGGGCTAATATCTCATCGAAACTTAAAATACTGAACAATTTGGAGGAGTGTTACCTAGCAGGATTGTTATCCAACCCACTTCTTCTAAAGGTCAAATGTAACACAAAGACTAACAGTTTCAAGCTCAACAAGCCACAATGTAGGGCAGAAAACAGGAGATACGTTTTCACCCACAGGGTTATAAACCCGTGGAACCGCCTACCCCCTGAAGCCGTATATTCCAAAACAATGTTGTAGATCCAGCTTGATAAATTCATCAGGACAAATGGAAGGACCATTGACAAGACGCTGGGTTCCTGTCCTCGTCGAGAACACTAGAGCATATGGCAGCCCCTTCATTAAATTCAAGTAAAATACCAACACGAGAATAGAAAACAGTTCAACGCAGAACAATTACCTGCTATTTACTTAAATTTACCTCAGAACATAAGAACAAGGTAACTGCAGAAGGCCTATTGGCCCATACGAGGCCCATACGAGCCATACTATCTATAACCACCCAATCTCACTCATAAACATGTCCAACCCACGCTTGAAACAATCGAGGGACCCTAGATTAGGTCCCTCGATTGTTTCAAGCGTAATTAAGTGTTTCAATCTAGAACCACTGACACTAGTGGACTCGACGGGGACAGGAAGCCCTCCATTTGTCCCAATGATTTTACAGAGTTGGATTTTGAAATTCAGCAGTGTTCTGGCATTTACGGCTGCGGCGGGTATGCAGTTCCATGGGTTTAATTCATAATTATAAATAATTAAGTATAACCTTATGGGTGATAAAATCTGTTTTCAGTCCTACATTGTAGCTTGAGCTTAAACCGATGGTCCCTGCTCATGTTACATCTAATGTTTTAAAGCAAGTCTTTAACTGTTCCTGGTATGAGTCAGCTTAGTTCTGGAATGATTTTTGTTGCCCAGTGCTGAACTTTCTCCAAATCAGCTATGAAATCTGAAGATGCGATCTGGTCGGTCTCCATGCTTGGATACAATAATCAACATGTTTGATCTTGACAATCAGACCAGTACTGGTATGAACATTTGTCACTTAGGGGCGCCTGACAGCTGGGTGGACAGCGCTTCGGATTTGTAGTCCTGAGGTTCCGGGTTCGATCCCCGGTGGAGGCAGAGATTAATGGGCAAAATGTTTCTCACCCTAATGCCCTCGTTACCTAGCAGTAAATAGGTACCTGGGAGTTGGACAGCTGCTACGGGCTGCTTCCTAGGGGGGTGTATAACAAAAAAGGGAGGCCTGGTAAAGGACCGGGCCGCGGGAACGCTAAGTCCCGAAATTATCTCAAGAGAACAACTCTCCTGTTTACCGCATACAAAACAATATCATTTTTGTAAAGTTATTTGTTCAGAGTAGCTTTTTCTTTTCTCAGATTTTAGACCATAGTCGTCATTTTAGAAATAGGAAGGTCTCCCTTGTTCTTAAGAGTTAAATCATGTGGGCGTAGGCGTAAATCACATTTGAGGACGCCTGACGGCTGAGTGGACAGGGCTCGGGATTCGTAGTCCTAAGTTCCAGGGTTCGATCCCCGAATTGGCAGTTTCTTTCACATCTGTTCACCTAGCAATAAATAGGTGCCTAGGAGTTGCAGTGCCAGTTGCAGACAGCTGCTACGGGCTGCTTTCTGGATGTGTAACAAAAAGGAGGCCTGGTCGAGGACTGGGCCGCAGGGACACTAAGCCCCGAAATCATCTCTAGATAACGTGTGACCATTGCGTAAAAATAGCCAAGACGTTTCCCAACTTTTTGTCTTGGCGACAGAAGGAAGTCCATTGGATAGGTTAGATTTAATAGTACAGTACATAATTTATTACCAGTACAGTAGCTAACCATCTCTCCAACGGTTGAGTCACGTCATAAATGACTAGGCAAAAATTTGAAGTAGTTCTTTTGAAGACTACCAAAACATGTATTGGGTCTTGACAATTATAACTGAAAGTGATACATGGACATTGATCATAAATTGATCAAAGGCGGCACCAAGCCGGGAAGGCTACATAGCCACTGATCGTGAATCTCCTTATAACAACCTCTTGAATTAGGTAATTATCAAAAAAAGGTGCCACGCTCAAAACACTATACTGTACTGCATGTACAAGTTCATAGATAATATTCAGGGGGATGGGAGAGCAGAAAGAAAAAATAAATAATGACATTTAAAAAGTGAAAAAGCAAATTCCAGATTTTGAATATTAGTAAAACGATCACATGGCCAATATGAAACATTTGTAATCAGTAATGAAATTTAAAAGCTAGAGCTGCACTTCTAATTGCTGCAGTTATTTGTAGCAATGTAGGGATTCTATAACTTGAATACTATTGTTTTTAGCCATACATTTGTAAGTTTTTAATTCTTTTAGTGACTATGGCTTGCCAGAATGCCAAAATGCATTCCATAATTTTTCAAATTTTGGATAAGAACATATATGTACACAAAATTTCAGTGGTAAGGCATCCGGGATAAGGAAGTTTATCAGCAAAGGTAACAATTGCCGTAGTGTTAAAATTGTAACATGCTTGTCTCAAGTCGGGAACAACACAAATGTGAATAACTAATAGGAGGGGGGGGGGGCAAAATCAAGTTATGGACCCCCTTTTACACTGTGCTGCAAGAACATGATTAGTAAATAACGATAATGTTGAACATAATTTTTGGGCTTTTGTAATGCACTCTTAAAAAGTGCCATTAGATGAGAACTCTTGGATAAATTGATGAGGAACCTACGATGTTGGATCTCAACCACTGCAGGATGAGAAGGGATACAACATATCAGGGTCATGAGAGCCAACTACAAGAGCTATCACTGCAGTATGACAAGTCTAAAGAACACAAGATCACATAAAGCTCTGCAATAAAAATAAGTGTGGAGTAAAGCAAGTTACAGGTTTCACACTAAGAGAAGGCAACTTCATCAGCAGACTTAGAGCAGTAAAACAGAAATGGCAGTGAAAATCCACAAGAAAAAGGCATTTCAGGACAGGAGGCAGGATGTACAAACCACAGGGGGGCAAGTTAGGCACAGTAGGATACACATTAGGGACATGTACCAGGAGAAGACTAAGCGAGCAATCCATGCAGTAAAAGATTGCAAAGTAGGGCTTTCAAAGGAAGGGCAATGGTCAAGGTGCAGTACACACATGAAAGGGAGCTTTGTATTGTCCTCACAAAATAGTACAAGTCATACCTATCAGTTTTGTAACAACAGATCATTAGTTTCAACTTGTACTCCGAGATGAACAAATTGGCAAGTAACAAGTACTTTGTTTTACAAGCCAAGAATAAAATACTTATTACACAGTATTTAGTAGTCAATACCTCTGCTTGTATGGATTTGTGAAAAGGCAAGGAGATATTTTAGCAAGGAAAAAAAGAGAGCTTAAAAATTACTTTTATATGCACCATCCCATTTTTAAAATGGCAAAAATAAATACATATTCCATGTGTAACAGAGGCCACTTCACTCATTTTTTTACCTTTTCTTACAACAGAAATTAACATGGCTGTAGCAAGAGGTAACAGACTGGTTGACCTCAATCAATCATAGCACTGCCAGTTGAAGTACTGTACAAGGTAACTTCACTTGGTTATATCTACACCACACCAAATAGTACTAGACTTCATTCAATACGGCACCGTGTATTGTGCTCCAAATTTCTTCTTTCTCCTGTCACTTTCTGCTTATTTCTCTTATTTTTTAACTAATGTGATGTAATTGCCTTTCTACGTATCCTTGTACAAGTGGCAAATTCTTCACCTGTTTGGTATCTAAAACAAAGCACTACCTGACCACAATTCCTCCAATAGTCTCGGCTTGATAGCACTTGAAATGACAAAGGGAATTTTAACAATCCCACTAAATACGGATCCTACCTCCTAAAGCCACCCTCATGAGGTAGGAGAGTTGACATGGGAAACAAGGAATTATATCCAGATACACTAATGTACAAACAATTATGAAAAACTCAGTTCAAACAGATTTTACCGATAGCACAACACTAGACAAAAAGATGCGTTTAACTTCAATACCTCAAAAAAAAAAAGTTGTTAAGGTTTAAGTGTATTTAATTATCAATACTGTATACAGCCTAAAAAAAATAAAACAAAAAAAAACTAATATCATGGAAGTTAATGAAACTTATTTCATACATTTTTTTGCATTTACAAGATGCATATGCCACTAATGAAAATGTCAATCTTAAATTTACATAACTTCCTGGAATGACAATGAAAACACTAATGCCGTACTTTCCCATTAACAAGTATATTTAATAATACAAGTACAGTAAAAAAGTGAGAACAAGAAAATAAATAAACAATTACTCCTTACTTCAAGAGCTCATGCAACAGTATGTTCAGCTAACTTAGTAACAAAGATTTCCTATTTATAAAATTAAAACTGTAGACAGCAAAGCCAAGGTAACAATACTGAATGTTTATTTTGCAGAATCTAAAATAATGCATCAATTGCCTTTATTTCTGATAATTTTGCTATTTGTATGGAAAGCATAATTGTTTACAATAGCAAATTACATTAAGAACGTGATACATATGACTCTAGAATAAGAGGAGAGTAAAGAACAGCTACACAAATGTCAGACTTCCATGAAAGATAAAATTAAGGAAATGAAATGTACTGATTCCTTACAAAACCCAAAATATCATCAAGTATTGTATATAAATGCAGATTGACTGCTTCAACAATGCTTGACAATGAATATGCAGCATACAAAGTCCTGCTTTCAAACGTGCACTGTACACACAATGAGACCACCCAGTCTCAGTACATTATAAAAAAACTTAAACTACACTAGTTGTAAATTCATACGGTGAAACAATCACGTCAAGATTCATTGCAACTAACACTACTTCCTCTCTCACTTTACACGGGCTAGCTCTGCAGCAGCAGAATTGAACCCTTTGAACCTAACACCTTATTATGCCTAAGAGTACATATTACCCACATTAGACAACACCCATAAGTAAATTATCATACAACAGATCTCAAGTAAAACAGCATAGGCGAGATAATGATTTGTATGGTGGGTTAATACTGCCCCTCTAATGAGAGGAGCAAGTTATTTTAGGGTCTAATACAGGAAGACATTACTAGGGTATCTCCTTTCTAATAAAAACTTACAAGTTTATTGAATCTACTTTCAAGTCACATGTATCAATAACATACAAGTTAAAAAGAGAAGCTGGCCAAAAGTAATTTGATGCAAACATAAAAACAGGCAATCTGGAGCACTACCCTAGTTTACTATTCACATAAAGGCAATGTGACTGCAGCTGAGGCAGTCTTCCTGTACTAGATGAATTCTCAACAGGTTATCACAACTTTTCTGGTGGGTAGTTTTAAGATACCAGCTCTATGCATCAGGTATGATGTATCACTGAGTTTCTCTCCACAAAGTATCCACTCAAAGCAAGAAAAGTGTGAAAGGCAACTGAATGGTTAGAAGGTATGTACACACAACAGTTGAGGAATGCCACACAGAATGAGCACCACAAGTTAACTTGCGCTTTTCACTGAAGCTGCCACTTCTGGTTGCCGTGTAAGTCCCTCCTAACTTTTGTCTGCTGTTATGTACGTAAAACTTGAGTTCATGTCCAGGCTAACCCAAGTCCACTGTACAGCCTTGAATGATATGGATATATTGATTTAACACCTTCATACCAAACACATCTCTTGGCACTATCAAACCGAAATGAGGTTTATATCCATTTCATCCAGCAACCAGTTACAGTATTACACTTTTTTTTCCTAAACACAGAATCCTTCCAAATCTTGAGATACTTCCTATATACAAAGTTCACACTTCCAGGGAAATACTTTCCCAATCTTTTTCATTCTTTGTACCTCCAAAGGCACATAGTCCATTTCAAAACAGCATAGTCTTACGAAAGATCTGAAAAAAAAAAAAAATAAATAAAATGTTTGATTCTCATCAAATAAATAGTTTGAAAAGTGAGATAAAAATGCCATGAAAAAATTTTTATAGTAAAATATAAATACGACAAATACAAAAACTAAATATGACAAATCACAAGCACACCAAGAAAATGATATCTGATCATGCATGTGTTGAAGTGTAACAAAAATTTCACAATAAAACTATACTTACAGCTGGGAAGAGCTGCTTGAGAGAGCCTTTGCTGTATCTGATCTGTAGTAAAACGTACAAAGCAATCATACTGCTCGGCAAGCTTGGAGGCCAAGACTTTATCATATTCCTCTCGGATATTCACTTCACGTTCGCGCAGTAGCTGCTCACAAATCAGATTCACCTGTAAAAGATTTTTATTTATTACAAACAACTGTTTTGGTGTGTAATCACAAAGCATGAATATCATCATCATTGATAAAACTTTTCAACATGTATAGGATGCACAAAGAAACAACTTACAAGTAATATTCACATTCATTTTCAAACTGAGCTAAGAACTGAGAACATGGCCATATGGAATGCCTATGTGCTGTACAACTCGAGTACAACTTCGTCTCTACAAATCTAAAGTTGTAACACACTTTGCAGGCAGGATTTACTCACCTGCTTTGCCAAATAATTATTTCTAAGCGAGTAAATTGCAGATTTACTTAGGCTCATTCTTTTATGACAAAATGGATGACAACAATTAACATTTCCAAGGAATATTGCTTTAGGGTATTAAAATAATTTGTTCTTCACAATGGGCCTGAACATCTCTCATAAACGGTATTGTCTACTTGCCCATGTCCTTAGTAAAACTGAATTGCATGCCCTTCTATAGGGTTATATCAGTGAAGTAATGGTGACAGTAGTGTTACCAATAACCTCCCAGGTTGTAATTGGTTTCTGCTGGCTCTTTTCATGAAATGGGTATGAAATTGTGAGGACCCATAATTTGTATTTCTTGATTGCTTCTATGTATTTTATGTTCAGATGACAAATTTGATCATAGATTAATTTGTGATAAAATTTAAGGAGGCAGACATCTTGGCTTTGCTGTACTTTCAAGAGTATAATTACTCTAAAATTTTCCTGCCAGAGAACCACTAATTAACTTTCACATGATGTGGACCACTTATACATAAATCATCTTCATGACAGTTTTCCCTACAATCTTTTCAATTTAGCTTATACCAGTTGCTTATCATGTGAGGGTTTTTAGAGAGTAACGAAAACTATAGAAACAAGTTGAATAAGGAATCAAAGTTACTTTTGGCCACTGTCAGCAGTTATTTCCTCATCTCTTTGCAAAGTATCCCAGCTAAAGAGGAGAGTTACAGCCCCGCTCCTGTGCCAGGTAAGTCCACTACAGGCTCACTATAGCCCGTGTTACTTTGGAACTTTTGTTCTTAAGTAGCTGAATCTAAAACAACAACCCAACTAAAGTATTGTATTCATTCCATACTTGTAAACATTTTGTTTTCTGTAATTTAATGACCAAGTGTTTAGATATAAATATAAACAAATTAAGATCATACATAATATATGGATTTTCTAAATGTTTGTAAACAAAATAATTTGCCATAAAGGAGAACCAAGTACTGTATCATTTAATAATATTCCACCATCTCTCTGATAGCTATTTCCACATGTGAAGGGTTCACAGATCTATGGGAAAAGTTATCCATCATATGACAGATTAAGTGAAATTTTATTTTTAGTGTAATGTCCCACCGGGCACGGAAAATATTACGATATGAATGGAACTATTAACACGACTCGAATCATATTTTTTATGATTTTCGTAGACTGATGCAACACCAAAAGAAAGAGCTGGGTCCTTGGGAAAGCCTTTGAGTGCATTTATAACCAAATTCTATTATTTGTTTTCATTTCAAGATGCCACAGCTTTTGTTCAAGTGCCTGCCTCTGATTTTGTGGAGGCAATTGCCTCAGGCAATTGTTTGCAATATTGGAAAAAATCCTGAAAGCCTTAGCTTCCTTTGTGGGCCTTATCAAAAAGATAGGCACCATGTCAAGTGCATCACTATCCACTGACCGATGCCCATGCTAGAAACCACTGAAACCATGCAAAACTTCAAGAACTTTTATGGAGCTGAAAGATATTAGTGATGAGAAATCTACTACAAATAATTAACTTGAAAATTACTTCTTAGAATATGTCATCAACATTTCTTCACCTCTCTATAGCCAAAATAAAATGATAAATATTTCCCCACTCCCGACGGCAATGTTTTAAGATAAAGGAAAAATAATGTTTAAAATGTTTTTATGTGCACCAGGAAATTGGCCTAATTTAGGGTGCACAGTTAGGAGCTAATGCATTTTAGGGAGTTTTTCCCATTAATAGATTGTTATTATCTGTTATTGAATGTTATCACTTAGGGTAGCCAAAGGATTAAAGTACCTTTTCCTCTTGTACTAATATATATAGCAGCTTTTTCTCACATGCATTTTAATATAAAAAAAAAATTGTATTCCACACTACTGATACATTGAACACACATGCAAATGCTTTTGCTATGGTCTTGGTAAATAAAGCTCTTTTATATACTACTGTATTACTATATGGTAATAACTTTAGATACACTGTACCTGCTTAAATGTGAACAGAGGTTTATCCTTCCCAAGAGAAGACTGGTGATGGTGGTGATGATGAGATGATACTCCTGCAGTGGATGTTGATGCAGGCGATGGTGAGGTAGGACAGGCCAGGGAGGGCGGAGACGGTGGGGAAGCTGGAGATTCATAGCCCCCCTCGCACTCCATACTACGCTCGCCACATTGCAAGATCTTGCGGCGTTTCAGCCGACGGATCTCTTCCCGAACATTTTGTGCAATTTGCTCTGTAATCACCATTACTTAAGTAGATCATATGACATTTGAACTAATTTACACTACAGTACATGCTTATGCATAATCTCTCTGATGAGTATTTTAAATATTTGAAGTTTCAACTGGCCTAGCTTTAAAAAATGATGTCAAGTGTAATGAAATGCCCTTTTTTAGGTGACGCCAAATGCCACAAAAGCCCAAACCAAACCATGCACACTACTAAATAGAAGACCAGAGCCTGGCTATCATTATGATGACTGTAAAGACTAAGCCCCAACCAAGATTGTATGTGTCTGAGAAAGGCTCGTGCAGTGGAAGAGGAAAGATCCAACCAAAGATTTGTGAATTTTAAAGAGAAAATTGATTTCTAGACATGACTCCAGAAAAGTTTTTAACAATTTAGGGAAAATATTAACATAAAAAGACAGGCACTTAGCACCTCTCTCTGGCACTATATTTAATTTTAATCTGCATTTCAGTTCAACACGGGTACAGCGCTATATAAACATTATAAAAATTTGTTCTTCACACTCAAAGGCACGCTTACCGTAATTCAGTAAAATCATACAGAAGTCCAAACAAGTAATAGAAATAAGAAATAATAGTTACCTGGGGTTAGAGTTGGTGTGACCTCGGCAAATGGTGACTGTGACTCTGTGTGACGCGCAGTGGCTGCAGCAGCACTCTGGGGCGACACACACATAGGCACACATCGTCGTCTCTTGTGTGGTCGAGGAGTGCAACTTCCGTGGTGAAGGGGATCAAACTCCAGCGATCGTTTGAGTGTTACACATGCCATTCTTCAAGTGTACCCTGTTCAAAAGATGCTGGACTTTAGCTTGTCATAAAGCATCCTAAAATTGAACCTCTTAGGGTCATCTCATGTATAAATCAACTTTATATACAAATACATACAATACTGATAAATGCTATCATAACCGAGACACGAGATCAATATACAGCACTGTATTGGTTATAACCTCGTCACAGCAACTGACACACTGTACATGATTATATACAGTGGATGGGTCCATTCTACACAGAAGGGCTCTGACAACACAGGCACTTAGCACCTCTCTCTGGCACTATATTTAATTTTAATCTGCATTTCAGTTCAACACGGGTACAGCGCTATATAAACAGTATGAAAATTTGTTCTTCACACTCAAAGGCACGCTTACCGTAATTCAGTAAAAATCATACAGAAGTCCAAACAATCTCGCAGCATACTACAAATTTTTCTCCTAACAGGGGTGCAACAGGTGCTGCCACCAACCTAAAGCAGGAAAATGCAATAACTTCCAATATACTCCAAGTACTAGTTTAAACATAGATACAGTATGAGATCTTAACCAATAATATTACAAAAATTCCATGTCATTAAAGCACAACACAAAAACCACTATGGGCCGAGTGTTTGTTAAAACATTTAAGTTGCAAATTATATTTCTTAAAGTGTAGCAGTCAAAACTTTCAGATACCTTTGAAGAAAAAATGTTTAATACTTTCGCTGCCCGATGTCGCATATTCCGTCATGGAACCAAAATATGTACCAAGTATGCCTGATGACAACTGGCATCAATTTAAAAAATTTGTAAAAATTTCATTTATTGTCCGAATTCTATGGGACTTTTAAAATGAGCTCCAACTTCTGCCTGTATACCCCATACCATACCAAACCCCATACTACCATACTCTGTATACCCCACGTAGCACCCTGACCCCGCCAAGTAGGTGCCCACGCACGCTAGAGGCTCTCTGTTCCCGTGACAGCCGCGGCCTTCCCTAGAGTCAAAAGGTTCCCCCATTCCGGTTATTTTATCTTGGGTATTTGTTGTTACCGGCTTTATAAACACTGCAAATTGACTTCCAGATTGATACTGATCAAGAACGGAGTCAATCCACGACGAAAGTATTGAAAGAAATACGTACGAGGAAAAGGATACTGTACTGTGTTTTCACCGAAAGTATAGAAAAGTAAGACTCATGTTCTTATATGCAAATATCTCTACGCAGTCTATTGCGAACAATTTGATACCAATTCGAACGATGTAGTATGGACATTGAGGTGAGAAAGCAGAAAAGAGAATAAACATTGGAGTGGTGAGCTCTCAGGCAATGCATGGGCTACCTAGCATTGTGAGGTGGGTCTAAAATATAGGAGAGCGAGATTTGTATGGTCTTATACGCAGATATTCCTTTACAGCATTCTATTCTATTGCGAACAATTTGATACCAAATTTAACGACGTAGCACAAAAATCGAGGTCAGAAAGCTAAAGAGAGTATAAAATTTGTGTGGTGGCGAGTTCTGGACCTACACTTGAACTTTCAAATGAAAATACGCGTCGTTTATTTACGACGCGGCTGTGTGAAAGTGTTAACTCTGCACAGTGCCTTAGGGCGCTCATAGGTATAATGTAGGATTCAAAACTCCCGCGACTACACGAGGTTCACATCAGTTTCCTCAGGGCTCTAGTAAACAGATGCAATTTAAAAAAAAGTATATATTGTTGGCAACATTCCCGGGTGTGAGGGCCTCAGTACTGAGTGAGCAACCAAGGCTGGTGCACACAGCATGAGCTAACAGCACTGCTATTCAGTTTGTGGCAACGGCCTGCAGCATTAGCCTTTTTAATGACAATGTGAGGTCTCATAACAAAAAAGTGTTAAAACATAAGGAAAAACAAGCGTCTTTAGACAGATTCTTAGTAAGACAAGGAAGCAGTGAGTCATAACCAGGTCCTAGTGGTATGCCTACAAAACAGAGTACCCCAGAAATGTCCTCAATTAATTATGTTATAATGGAAGGGGACTCCCCTTCCAAACACCAACACCTCTCTTCCCCCCCCCCACACTTCCTCACCGTCTTCCATACGCCAACATGAGTCCTCAAAGGTAAGGTGAAGTAAAATATGAGTAGTATTCTGTATAAAATGTATTAAGTTAGTATTTTTGGACATGTGGAACGGATTAATTCAATTCACATTACAGTATTTATGGGAAAATTAGTTTTGGTTTACGAACCTTCGGTGTACGAATCGTCTCTTGGAACGGCTTAAATTCGTAAATCAAGGGTCCACTGTATACAGTATTCCATTTCACTCCTCATGCTCATTTCTTTTTAACTTTGCTTCATAAACATAACATTTCTCTCTTTATGAATCCATAACCAATAGCAACTTCTTCAATACCCCATTTATTCTTCTAATGCTGCACACAGCAAGACAAGCCTGCCTTTATTTCTGGGGTCTGGGCAGGTGCAGACACTAGATACACTGCTAGTTTTGCATTGAATACAGTATGAAGACATCTGGGAAGAAGGGTACACTAAATTCACTTTCCTTTACATCACAGGAAATGTGGGGCCGATTGCACCACATCCACATGTCACAAGTATTGTTCATCTTAACCCTTAGCCTTTGATTTTCATCTATTGCCGATCCCAAAGGGAGCCAGTGGCTGAGCGGACAGAACACTGGACGCGTGATCCTGTGGTCCCAGGTTCGATCCCAGGCGCCGGCGAGAAACAATGGGCAGAGTTTCCTTTCACCCTGATGCCCCTGTTACTTAGCAGTAAATAGGTACCTGGGAGTTAGTCAGCTGTCACGGGCTGCTTCCTGGCGGTGGAGGCCTGGTCGAGGACCGGGCCGCGAGGACACTAAGCCCCGAAATCTCAAAATAACCTCAATATAGATTCCTAGGGGGACTTCAGTTATCATTAAATGATGATTTAAACAATTATTGTCTGGGTTTTATATGTATGATAAAATCTGGGCAAGATATGTACAGTCGATTGTTTTGCTTTGTTTGGATGGTTTTACTTGGGTTCGAGGTTGCTCTAGGATCCACTTGCTCTCCAACATTCTGATCCTGGTGTTTGGTAGACCTGTTTAATGTATGTTTAGATTCCTGATAGTTTTGTAAATAGCTCTGTGGTACTAAAGCCAAAACACAGGAGTAACCTGGTTCCGGCCCAGAAATAATGTTAAATTCTTTCTCGACAGACATTTCTATTAAAAGACAAGGAAAAATACATAGACCATAAAAATACTTATTATTACTATTATAAAGATGATTTTTTTTAATATTTTGATAAGATAGGTACCTTAGTATCAGCTAGAGGCGCCACTGTATACTTTGTCTTCCGCCATCACAATGCTGTTCAGCGTCGCTATCCCTTAGTACACTAAAAATATGAACAACAACATGCACAATAACAAGTTTTCACATTTATTATAACACTAGTAGCAATAACGCCAAAGTTTGAGAAAATATAGCAAATGTCTCGAGCTTTAACATATTAATACACTATAAATATTCCAAATGTCAAATCTGAGCCTTCCAAACCAATACTATTTCCAAGTATTCATGTTTTTAATATACTGTACAATACAGTGCTTAATATTCGGTACCACTAAATAAAAATGGAAGCACTAGATATTTGATATTTTACAAAATATGGAAAGCCAATGCAAATATCACAAGTCACAAATTCAAAGCATCGTCAAGTAAATCATACTTTTTTTCTTCTTCATTGTTTTATATTCTGAGACAATTGCAAAGTTAATTTCGGAAATGCAATTACTTTATTATAATTATGATACAATTTATATGATTAGAATATGTGTTACACAAGTACAGTAATTACAGATAAACATGTTACATGAGAGATGAATGTGTATGGCATCACATCATTATGAAATGCTTGCAAAATTAGGGTAAGTGGGAGATGGGCATTTCTATCAGAGGACGAATACCGCACTGTATAGCAAGTGCTAGGTTTTAAGAAAGTTGCAAAGAACAAAAGTACTGTATAACAATTCAAGATATATTAAGTAAAACATTGTACAGTATACGAAAAGAAAAATAGAAGACATATGGTTATACATAAATGATAAAAGAGAGAGAAGAGGTACAGTCAATACCCATCTACAGTCAAAATGTCAAGAGGCTATTGAGAAGAAAAGGAATGAATGCTCAGTAATATATTGTGGAAGTAATATTGTGTATTAATTATCGTGTATTATTGATACACAATCGACTTGAGAATGGTCCAGTACGGACCGAAACGTCGTCGTTCCTTCACTTTCTAGTGTATGGTCTGGGCAACATATTGTGGAAGAAAAAGTAGTGTGTATGCAAGTTGTGCCTGGCCTTTTAATTTAAGAAATACAGAATTTTTACTGACAGATTAAAGCTGGTCATGGAGAAGAAAATAAGGAGGAAATACAGTGAAGGACATGAGGGTAGAAGTGCACTGCCAGTTGTGCATAATATTGCTAAATGGTGTATTGTATACTGCAAGTCTTTCAATTACAAAAAGTGGAGAAAAGCCAATGATAACATGTTATGGTGTCACCAGTGTTTCCAACTCGGAAGTGCACACAATACCTCGACATGTCAACTTGGCTACACCTAACACTCGACTTATTTCCATACTCTGGTGGTATGCTTCCTTGAAACAAATGATCTGAGCATTGGTTTCTTTGGCAGATGCCATAAGAACAATAAATACCATAAGCCAATAAATAAATAAAGCCAATAAATAAGCCAATAAATACCATAAACAATTGTACCATTATGGTACAATAAGTACCATAAAACATAGCAAGGTGCGAAAACGAGATGTGCAACACATCCGTTCACTGTAAGTGCCCGAGGGCTGCTAAGCATCCCAGTTGTGTGGCTCAGGGAGGTAACACACACTGACATCATGTACCCAGAGCATACCTGTCAATACTTTCAACCACAAGATCGTTTTTTTGCCATAAGTACCCGTCATCTTGAGTAGGGAGACACACTTTTGACAAGTACTATAGAATTATGGACTGGGTGACACACTACACTGCAGTGTAATGGGCATAATAGACTGCCGGAGAATCACCGAATGAAAAAGGTACACAAGGATTAAGTATGAGGTCCATATGCTACGAGGCAAAAGAATAGTATTTTGTAAAGTAGTGTATATCCATACCAGGGATTCCAAACTTACTATATGCAATCTTACAGTCAGTCTCCCAAGTCCCCACATTGAAGTGCTAACAATCTATTATTTTACATTGCTTATCAAATGAAAGTCTCAAAATGGTGGTTGATAAGAGGAACCGAATTAGTGATGCACCAGGTTTATCAACTTCGGTTCTTCTAACTACCAACTTGGCACCACATGTTTTGTGACTCATTCCTTAGAATCCACTGATCTTCAAGAACATAACAAAGGAAACTGCACGTGGCCCATTTGCCACAATAGTCGGCTCCTATTTATAGCCACTCAAATACATTCATATTTGTTTAACCTGCACCCGAAAAAAAATCCAGCAATCTCATATCTTATGTTACCTGGTAATTCGTTCCCTAAATATACAACAATATGGTACTTGTTTCCAAACTAGTATTTACCCAGGTCTTTCTCGAATATAAACGTATCCATTTTGTGTTTTATTTTTATCTACAGTATCTATATTTATATTCCCCTTCATCTATTGGTATAAAATCAGTCATGTAAACCCTTACCGTGTGTGTGTGTGTGTGTGTGTGTGTGTTTCTAGAGAATGTAAATTAATCTTTTCAATCTCTTTTTCATAAAGAATGTTTCTAATATCATAAGGTTTGATATTAAAATGTAGGAAAGCATTGCGTTTGGCATGATTCGGTAGTACAGTACTATATTTTCAATGCATTTGGATACATGGTGAAACCCCGATTATCTGGATTTTCAGGGTAACCAGAAATATAAGCATCTGATTCTATATACCATTAACTGGAACACGTCCAATTAATGTAGTGCAGCCCCATTAACTGGATAGTTTTTATGCTACCTAGTAAGGGAAAAAATCCTTATCTAATGAAATAAGCCTACACAAGATACCTTCCCATTACAGAAATGAAATACAGGTATAAAATAAATGTTTAATAATGTTTGCATTCATGAATGCCATGGAAAAAAATTGTACACGACTACAGGAGTGGCAGATCGTCATTAAAAGAATGACATTGGCAGCAGCTGTGTTCACCAGCCATGACTAACTTCCATTTTGCTTGTTTACATGCCTCTGGCTACTATACCTCTTATGTCATCCTAAGTAACATGATTGATGGTACAAACAGAATGCCTATTATTAAGAGAATAATAAATATCATGTAATTATTGAGAATTTTTTTTTTAGCTTTAAATAGTATATCCTTATGAAAAGTGGTGTGGGTTAACTTGGGAGAATGGCAGGGAAGCAGGAACTGCCACCTAACATTCCCTCTCACAGGTATTTTAATAATCAATCCATACTTATAAAATAATAACATCTTGTTTTTCTAATTGCCTATAATTTGCTAGTACTACCGTAATTATCTGTATTGTTATTGGTAATGTAAGTTCTCCTATTGCCAGAGTCTGGGCTGGGGTCAGGCTTGTCTTGTGATAACATGATCTAAAAAGGCAGCTGCTTGTACCAGCCTACATTCCCATATACAGCATCCATTACAGCCCTGTGGGTCTGGTAATTCCTAAAGGAATTAGTCCAACTTGAACATGTCCACTTACATTTCAACAATATTGTATAAACTTTATGGGAGGAGATTGAAGAGCTGTATGGAAATAATAGTATTCACCAATTACGCCAATTATTCTAGTCTTCCTTAAATTTAAGGCGCATTTCCTACCATGTGTCTCGATCCCTTACGTTATTGTATTGCAAATAAATTGTGCACACAGCTCTGCCTCAATCACTTCGTTATATCAACCCTTCCATAATACTGTACTTTACTATACAGTAAGAAATAAAATAGTGAATGTATTAATAATGATATATATAACAGCATAATAACTGTTCAAAATTAAGTTATAATGCCAGGAGCAGTAATTAACAGCAAATACGAATACAAGTACTACTTAAAATATGAGAGAGTATTTTGGTCGATGCAATACAGACGACTTCAAATATAGACTGCGAGGTAATCTTAATTTTCTTAGCCCATTAACTACATCCATGATCTCACATCAAAGTGAGAATTGGAGAATCAGATTATTTATAAAAGCACAAACTAATTTACAAAAAACTGAGAAAATGTTAAAATACAGCCAGCTTGAACTAGCCCCAAGGATTTTACATGGTCTTTCCTTCAATTATCCAGATTTCCAGTTTTTTTTTTTTGGACACAAGAGGTACTAATTAACCTGGATAATTGGGGTTGCACTGCACTTTGTTTTGATGTCTGGGAACAAGAACCTGTAGATTTTGGCAAACCCTTTTAATACTTATAATGCATCTTTTAATATTTATCCCAGTGTCCTCCTAGAGTTTAAGGACAGTACATCTGCCTGAAAACAAATGGGAAATTACATAGCCTATAACCCCTAAAAATTTGGTGATTAAATACATAATTCACCAAATCAAATCAAATTTAGCTTTATAATATTACTTCAAACGTTTCTGTAAGGTTCGTCTTGTTGCAGTGTTGCAAAACCACTTGGGCTGGACAGTAGGGCGACGGTCTCGCTTCATGCAGGTCAGCGTTCAATCCCCGACCATTCAAATGGTTGGGCACTATTCCTTCCCCCCCCCCCCCTGTGTCATCCCAAATCCTTACCCTGATCCACCCCAAATGCTACACAGTCGTAATGGCTTGGCACTTTCTCCTAATAGTTCCCTTCCCCTGTTGCAGTGTTAATGGATTATATTCACATCCCCGGCAGTTTCTTGGTTTCATTCTCTGCACCGATACGAACCTATACAACTGAAGCCTTCATTCCCTACTATTACCTAGAGATAAGAAATGTTTTCAGTTTTGAGGTGGAGAAAGTGACTGTTAATCGGCCACCTGCTACACTAACCTAACTTTCCTGTGCACGACCCCAAACAGTAGATGATTTTTATACATGATACACCAATTGAACGTTTGAAAATCTGGTTTGGAATTTCTGTAGTACACTTTTTTTATTTTTTTTTTTAATACCAATGAACCACATTAAGGTTAACAAAATAACTGTACCTTACATAGCACACTTTTTTTTATTCTGACAATCTTTTGACACAAATAACAATGCAAACGTGCTCTCCAAATAAGAACAAGTAATAATGGTGTTATTAGTCCAGCTACACGTGACTGTCTAGAGCCAAGACAAACATAACCACAGCACAAGGAATCATTCGAGACAAAACAATAACTCTTGAATAAGTCATCCATGTTACCTTGTTTTTAAAATACTGTACAGTATATACAAAAAAATTATAAATTTAAATTAGTTTGAAAACCTTAACATAAGAGGATATTGGCCGGAATATAGCCCGGAGCATGGTGGGGGGGGTAGGGAGGAGGGTGCTGGGGGTAGGGAGGAGGGGCAGGGTGCTGGGGGTAGGGAGGAGGGGCAGGGTGCTGGGGGTAGGGAGGAGGGGCAGGGTGCTGGGGGTAGGGAGGAGGGGCAGGGTGCTGGGGGCAGGGTGCTGGGGGTAGGGAGGAGGGGCAGGGTGCTGGGGGCAGGGAGGAGGGTCAACAGCGCCACTGGCCCCAGGCTGACGGGTGTCTGCCCTCTTAACTACAACAATAATAGTCAACTTAGCTCTCCCACCATTATTCACCTTCTTAATCAATACCCTCACCTACCACAGATGACGCCAAAGACGCTCATATACCCTGCTTATCACCATGTCGTTTTTCCTATACTCGCTACTTACAAAAAAAAAAATGAATGAATAATGAAGCTACAGCAATATGAAACACGTCCAGACTTCGCTATTTACAGATTATAATCGCCGCGTTCACACTTCACGATGACCCAGGACACACTGACACTTTAGCCTGATGCAAAAGTAAGTCTCCGTGGCCTACCTGAGCTAGTGGAATAGGAAGGGAGGGAGAGAAGCCTCGAGTGACGAGGATCCAATATGGCCGTCCCTAAACAATGGCAGATAGTTGCGCCGGCCACTTGGTTCTCCTCTCTCGTCAAAATGCTCAAATATTTCCCTAGAAAATTCCTCAGGGTACTTATTAAATAGGTTAACATTATTGAATATAAAAAATATTAGATAACGGCTTGATGAGCTCTCTGTATTTCGGTAAAACAGGATGGGCGTAACCAGCCAAAAGTTCGATTTTCAAGAGGAATGCTTTATTTGTTGCTTTAATAATAGTAAGTATAAAGCACTGTGCCACTGCCCTAATCAGCTAATGTATAAAAGGGATTACATAGTTTCACAAACAATCTGTTCACCTAATATTTCCATCTCTCAATATAATTTGATATCGAGAGATGCAAGAGATATAAATTCAAGCTACCAATTGTTTAACGTAGGCCTAATACACTTAAGATATTATTGGGAATGAAATAGTTTCAAAGTTTTACGTATATCATACCAGTTGGTCTAAAACCATTACTAACTGGGCATCCATTAACATAAAGCTGTATATTATTAGGCTGTCGATCTCGTCACAGCTTCCTCACATACCAGAGTTCCGCTGTTATAACTGCAATTGCTACAATTGTATAATGATATCCCAGTCTAATTTTGGTAATTACCGTGTCAGACTGTAATGGGTGTTTACTTCTGTCATATATAGATTTTAGATCTAAACAAAATCCTAACATATGAAGATAATTAATTCTAATCCTTCAGCGTTCGGAATTTCACTGTCGACAGATTATAAAATTCCCGATTGAGCTTTGTGATTTTTACGTAAACAGGATAGAATTACCTAAGTCTAGTCAAATTGCCTGCTTGTTACATGCTTTTGTTGCCTTAGTCTGTGTAATCACGATGTATTAATAATCAAATGAGTCTTGACACGTCTCGCCTCGACTCAAGTCCATTACATCCAGCGGTCGACCCCACAGACGCATTCATAAATTTGTACATGCTGTTTATTCAAATCGGGAATTTTGTCAAATATAAATTAATATTATAAATTAGCATATTGTGCATATATATAGGTATAAGTTAGGTTAGGTTAGGTGTTTAGGTTATGTTGGCGATTATTTGTATTTGTAGTACGTGGGTGAAGCATTTATAGCGTTGTAGTTCGAACACAATTCGTTTACGGGCTATTCATGCCCGTGCCACCTCTTGGGTGGCTTAATCTTCATCAATCACACAATTCTTCAGTGAAGCACTTGTTCCGGAAATGTTCGAACGAAATCAGCTGTGAGTCGTGTGTAAACCGTTTTTCATTCTTAAACAGGGGTTTGGAGGTTGCATGGAATCACTTTTGGGTCTTTGGAGGACGGGCTGCAAGTCCATTATATCCAGCGGTCGCAGCCCGTCCTCCAATCAAATACTCAAAAGTGATTCCATACACCCGCCAAACCCCCTGTTTATGAATGAAAGACTGTTTAGGAACCATTAATACACACTGGAATGACACTTGACAATATATGACTATATTTGAAACAATTAAATAGACACTTTCCTAACTATATTCCCTAACAGAGGCAAAGAATAAATTACTGATAAGGTGCTTCAGTTCAAGAGAGCCGTACTTACTCAAATGGCGTTCCACAAATTTCCTCAAAATGATGTTCTCTCCCGGTGTCCACCCACACCGTCCTCTTGGGCTTCTTCCACTATACTGTGTCTGGCTATGATCTGCTCCCCAGCTGAACCTGAGGGCTTGCATGTGATGTGGAGGAGTTAATCCCTCTAGATTATCATGACGGCATCAACTCTGACCACCTCGTGACCGTTGACCTGTCCCCCTGGTTAACTTCTACAGCTTAACTTTTCCATTGTCTGGCGCCGCGCCTGTGGCTTGTTCATGCTGTTATGATGTTCATGTTGTTCTACTGTGTACTGTTCTCTTGTTACACCAGAACTACGTTAACTCTTATACTCGGAACAGCTGAGGGCCACTTGACTAACAACACTACAAACCTGACATACCTGATTTACCTGAGGGCCACTAACCCCCTAGTAGGCTCGACGAGGACAGGAAGCCGGCGGCTTATTGAAGGCCCCCCCCCCCATTTGCTTTGAAGATCCTTGCATCTTTTTCTCTATTTTATTATCTTATTTATTTTATTTATTTTATTTATCTATATACAACTCTCATTATACTACGCACTAATCTACCCCTATCATACATACGGTATCTGTGCATGGGGTTCAACCACTGCAAATTACCTCAAGCCTATCAGCACTGAGCAAAAATCTGCAATTAGATTGCTATTATTAGAACTATAATAAACTGTCTTTAGACAACACACAGCCCCTCTATTAAAGTCCCTTAACATACACTCCACACATTCTCATGTGCTATTTACATTTTTTTTTTTTTTTTTTTTTTTTGAGATATATACAAGAGTTGTTACATTCTTGTACAGCCACTAGTACGCGTAGCGTTTCGGGCAAGTCCTTAATCCTATGGTCCCTGGAATACGATCCCCTGCCGCGAAGAATCGTTTTTATGTACAAAACCTTATTCCTAAATGCCAATCTTGATTTGAAACTTTTTCTTGATAGATGTAATAGAACCCATGAGCACCACACCAGAAATAAATATCTTTTTGATATCCCCAGAGTCAGATTAAATATGTGCAAACACTCCATGCAAATAAAAGGGCTCAGCCTTTGGTATTAATTCCCTGGTAAATTAAAAAAAAATTCAACCCATGCCCTGTTCAAAAGTAAAATAAAAAAGTACCTAATTCCATCCTCATAGTTTCCTACCTTGTGCTTCAAACTCACACTGTATCTTGTACTACCCACTTCCCCAATATTAGTACTCAAGACATATATCCTTACCAGTGTAAGCACCTGTCACCTTATGTTGTAGTTATCTGTTGATATAAAACTTGAATTTGAATTTGAATTTTGAATTTGAAAACCTTGCTACAATGTTCCCTTTTATCTTACCTGATATGTTAGATTAGGGACCTGCCCGAAACGCTGTGCGTGTGGCCAAAAATGGCCAAAATGGACGTAATATGAAATGAAATCGGTTCACGGAAGTGATGTACTGTCCCGTTTTCTGTTTGGGTCCTCCAGCTTAGTCTGTTAGGTTAGGAGAGGACATTTTCAATTAACGTTTTTCATGACGTTTTGAAACTTCTGAGAGAGACAGATAGAAAAACAAAGACACAGAGACAGACAGCAGATAGATTTATTTATGTATTTATTTATGCATATACAAGAATGTACATAAGGAATGTGAGGATACAAATATGGTAATTACAGTCTTGTAAAGCCACTAGCACGCGCAGCGTTTCGGGCAGGTCCTTAATCTAAGAAAATTTTAAGGAGGTAAATACTTGCAAAATTTATAGACAAAAAAATGATAACAGTTACATGAAATGAAAAAAAGAAGATGAGAGAAAATTGTAGGTACAGTATATTAAAGCACATAGGTAGCTAAGATTGATTGCAATGACAGCTTGAATGGTAGTTGACAAAAATTGGTAGGCACAATACAGCAGAAACAATATAAGATTGATTGCAATGACAGCTTGAATGGTAGTTGACAAAAATTGGTAGTCACAATACAGCATATGGCTAGCACATAAAAGAAGACAGCAATGAACACAATGATAAGGTTGTTTGATATTACATAAAAATTAGGAGATTGGGTAACACTAGGTACAGAGCAAATTTAAAGCTCAGTGTAGGAAACTAAGAAGATGAAGTTAGGTACTTTTTGGTTTTGCTTTTAAATAAGGCAAAAGTTTTACAGTTTTTCAATTCACTAGGGAGTGAGTTCCATAGACTAGGTCCCTTAATTTGCATAGAGTGTTTACAGATTAAGTTTGGCCCTGGGGATATCAAAGAGATATTTATTTCTGGTGTGGTGATAATGGGTCCTATTACATCTGTCCAGGGAGAGTTTCAGAGCATGGTTTGCATTTAAGAACAGGGTTTTGTAAATGTAGTTGCATCCCACCATCTGGTCACCACTTGGTCCGGGAGACATCTCCCGTCACGCAGGGTGCAGTCGCGCCTCCACAGATCTCCAGTATCAGCTCTTGATACTGGTAATGGCTCAAAAGGGCCACCACTTGCGGGCTATTCATGCCCGTGCCACCTCTTGGGTGGCTTAATCTTCATCAATCAATCAATCGACTCTTCAGTCACTTGGTCCGGGAGACATCTCCCGTCACGCAGGGTGCAGTTGCACCTCCACAGATCTCCAGTATCAGCTCTTGATACTGGTAATGGCTCAAAAGGGCCACCACTTACGGGCTATTCATGCCCGTGCCACCTTTTGGATGGTTTAATCGTCATCTTGGACACATTCATGGGAGACATCTCCCGTCACGCAGAGTGCACTTGCACCTCCACAGATCTCCAGTATCAGCTCTTGATACTAGTGATGGCTCGAAAGGGCCACCACTTACGGGCTATTCATGCCCGTGCCACCTCTTGGGTGGCTTAATCTTCATCAATCAATCAATGTAGTTGACACAAGAGAATGTGTGGAGGGAGTTAATATTTAGCAGGTATGGATGGATACTTGGATACCAGATGGATACCAGATGGATGGATAGATGCCTGTATAGATGAATGGATAAATAGATGGATGAATACATGAGAGATAGATGGATAGATTGATAGTAGATTTATATATTTTGATAGATATATGGACATATAGATGGACAGACGGATACATATATGGATAGCTGGATGAATAGATGAATTGAGAGATGGATGGATAGATAGATGAATAGATGGATGAATAGATGGATATAAATGAATAGATGGATAGTATATAGATAGATGGATAGGTACATAGATAGATGGACAGACAGGTGGATGGATAGACAGATTGATAAATAGATGAACTCGCAGATGGATGAATAAAAATATACATGGATAGGTATTTAGGATGGATGGTAGAGGTAAATCTAGTGTATCGATAGATTGACAGATACAAGAATTGATAGATGGATATATATATATATATATATATATATATATATATATA